TAAATTTCTTCCAATCTTCTTCCACCGACTCTTCTCCCTGGTCTCGGATTCTGCCTGGGATGCAGGCATGTCAGGCTGGGAGGAAATCTCTGCAAGAGCCACAAAGATTTATTTGTAGGAAACGGTGCGTTTTTTGTGCAGCAGCACTTGCATTCTGGAACCACCTGCCTCTTAACATCAAGCACAGCCTCCCCTGTGCTTTTTTCGGCACCTGCTAGAAACATTCTTTTTTAGACATGCAGAATGCTGAGGTGTGTTTTAATCCTGTTTTTAGTTTATTGCTGATTTTATATTCTGGATGTTTTAAAAGAGTTGTTTTTACTGGTGACTTTTATTGTTTTAGCCTCTTTGTAAACCGCTTTGAGTGTTGTCGTTTCAACGATCAAGCCGTGTGCAAATTTTATGAAATGAAAATAAATGTGGCCCCATGGGCTGGAAAAGGTAATAATATATTATTTATACCCCGCCCATCTGGCTGGGCTTCCCCAGCCACTCAGGGCGGCTTTCAACAGAATATTAAAATACAATAGTCTGGCAGGACATAAATAAATCTTAGGGTGTAGATAGGATTGGATACAGTAAGGAAACGGTGGGAAAGTACAGTGGTGCCTCGCAAGACGAAATTAATTCGTTCCGCGAGTTTTGTCGTCTTGCGATTTTTTTCGTCTTGCAAAGCACGGTGTCGGGAAAGTTTTGGAAAAGCTTCAAAAATCACCACAGTCTTTAAAAACCTCAAAAAAGGCTACCACACCGCGTTCTATGAGTTGCTCCTCGAAGTCAAGTCGCAACTGTATTAACGGTGTTAAGAAAAAGGAAACAAACTTGCAAGACGTTTCCGTCTTGCGAAGCAAGCCCATAGGGAAAATCGTCTTGCGAAGCAGCTCAAAAAACCCTTTCGTCTAGCGAGTTTTCTGTCTTGCGAGGCATTCGTTTTGCGAGGTACCACTGTAACTGACATAAGAAAACCTGTGGAAGGGAGGGAGGGAAGTCAGTGCTCAGCAGTGTGGGGAAAGAATGTGGGTAAATGACTGTTGAATTTTACTGTATTTTGTTTGTATTAAATGAAACACCAATAGAAAACAAAACAAAAGTCCTACTTGCGGGTTTCCCATAGGGGCATCTGGTCTGCTGATGTGAGATATTCGGCTGGATGGGCCATTGGCTTGATCCCGCAGGCTCTTTCTATATTCTTATTTTGCATGGGGCTGTGGAGTGAAGAGTGGTGGGGAGGCAGTGGGAGACTCCTGGGGTGACACAGACTTGTAACCAGACCCCCCCCCCTTTCTCTCCCTCCTGGCAGAGAACCCTTGGCGCTGTGACTGCTCCCTGCACTGGCTGAGCTCCTGGATCAAGGAAGACGGGCAGCGGCTCCTGAGCCCCCAGGACAAGAAGATCGTGTGCGCGGAGCCCCCTCGCCTGGCCTACCAGAGCCTGATGGACGTCTCGGGCAACAGCCTCATCTGCATCCCGCCGGTCGTGCAGGTGGAGCCCCTGGAAGTGACGGCGCGGCTGGGCGACGACCTGCGCGTTTCCTGCCAGGCCTCGGGCTACCCGCAGCCCCTGGTAACATGGCGCAAGCTGGCGCACTGGCGGGGGGCCGGGGGGGCCAAGGCCAGCGGCTCCCGGCTCCCAGGCGGGACCTTTGCCCTGAGCGAGCGCAGCGTGGGGGAGCGCTTTGAGCAGTCGGACACGGGCAGCGGGATGCTCTTCCTCAACAACGTGACGGTGGCCCATGCCGGCAAGTACGAGTGTGAGGCTTCCAACCCGGGTGGGACGGCCCGGGTCCTCTTCCACCTCATGGTCAACCTCTCACAGCAGCAACAGCAGCAGACGTCGCGCGGCTACCCGGCCTCTGTGGACATCAGCCAGGAGCCCCTCTATGACATGGAGAGCATGGACTTCAACGCTCTCAGCATGGCCACGCAGACGGCCATCGCCGTGGCCATCTCCCTCCTGGCCCTGGTGGCCCTCCTGCTGGTGATCATGATCTACCGCAAGCACCGCAAGCGGAAAAAGGCCAAAAAGGAGGAGAACATCCTCTACGTCAACGACTACTCGGATGGGCCTACCACCTTCGCCCAGCTGGAGGAGTACCGGGACGAGAGGGGCCACGAGATGTTCGTCATCGACCGCAACAAGCCCCTCTTCGCCACCTACAAGGACCCCCAGGGCCTGGTGGGGACCTTCCCCGAGCAGCTGCAGGATCAAGCCACCCAGACCTTGGAAGGGGAAGACGACGGCCCCCCGGAAGCCAGCGAGCTCTTTGTCAACCAGGGACTCATGTTCCAGCCTCAGATTGCTTACGAAATCCACTGCTGAAGGATTTTGGGCAGGCGGGGAGAGCCCACAAGCAAGGTGCCCAGGAAACCTTTGGGGTGGGTGGACTCCCCCTCCCCCTGCCCCCTTAGGGGAGCTGCTTCCTTGACCTTTCACCTCCGCCCCGGCCTTCCCGATAGGTCTGCCTTCTCTGCGGTTTAAGGTGATGCAGGAGTGGAGCCCACGATGCTTCGGTGACCGTTAGTGGCACCCAATGGGGAGATGGGGGATTTCTTTCTAAGTCTCTCCCCTGGGAGCAATCTCACTCCATAGTGGCACTCCCTCGGTCTCTCTGGAGCTTCCCGGATGCTCTCCGCAAAGACAGGAGAGCGGTTCAAGAGGCCTCCGCAAGAAGGCCCATTCAGAAAGTGTTACAGGCGGTGCTATTTTTCTAGAAAAAGAGGGGCCGGAACTCACCATGAAAACAACCCCCGTTCTCTTAGAATGGCAACGGTGCCCACCTGAGAGGTGCAGGAACCGAGTTCCAGCGAGTTCCCCCTGGAAAAACTCTGGTTATGGGGTACTGAACTGGTGGCCACTGATGGACAGCAACAGGCCGCAACCCTTGATTTATCCCAGTCGCCCCCCAATTTGCCCTCCAATGTGTATCCTGTGGTTGGACAGAAGGAATTTGACTACTCAGTGAATGAAAGAAAAACCACTTCCTAGGCGTAAGTTTGGTCTCTTGACAAGAAGCTGATGGAATCCATAAAAGTCATACACAGTCTTGACCACCCTGTTTCCCCCCACTCTTTCCCTGACCTTCAACTGACACTGTGGAGATGAAGCCGGGCGGGGGGCGCGGCGGGGTACACCTTCCGAGAACAGGGAGAGCTTCTCCGGCCAGAGGACAAGTGTGACATTTGTTTTCCAATTTGGTGTTTTGTTTTTGTTTCGTTTTAAGGATGAAGGAAAACATACTGTGACAATCACAATGAGTTGAACAGCTCCACTGTATTTGTAAGTCCCACAGGTAGACCCCCCACCCCTCACCTGCACAGCCACCCCACCCCCCTTTTCTGGTGCTACACAACTGTGGTTTTGCAGGAACCTTGAAAACCACAGGAAATGGGGAGGTACCACCAGGCTCTGCCAGGAAAATGGAAATGGCAGGGCCGCAAAGCGATCTGAGCAAACGAGAAGCCAATAAAATGTAGCTGGTGCCGGGGGGGTGCCAAGGACCAGCATTTCATTTATATTATTTATTTATAAATTCTTACAGCACATCCCTCTTGTGGAAAGTGTGTGCGCTGACACAAAATTGTGGTCCAAAATGAGTTGCAGTCACACGTTTCCTTGCACGCCTGTAAGTAGGGTGTAGCTTTGGGGATTTCTATTTTTCACATTTTCCTGATCCTGTGACAATACATTTTAGGCAGAGCATGATGAAGATGATGCAGAACATCCAGGGAGCTCTCTCAAAGGCTCTACAAACTAAGCAGCCAATCCCTGCACAGAGCACGGTCTGTTTTGCTGACTATATTCCTCCCTGGACTGAGAGCCGGGAAGGGAGGAAGGCCAGCTACTCCATATCTTCCGCACCCTCTGGATCAGACCATATCCAGGCCAGAGAGAGCCAAGAGCAAAAAATGGCACATGCAGAATTATCATAAAGGGAGGAGAGGGATTGAACTGCCTGCTTTTGCTAACTACCCCATAAAACAACTTTCTGGTTGCCCATTTCAACCCTGGAAGATCAGCCCAGGGCAGTCTTCACCCACCTGCTGCCCTCCAGATGTTTTGTACTACAACTCCCATCAACTGGGGCTGTTGGGAGTTGTAGTACAAAGCACCAGGTTGGCAAAGGGTGGCATAGGCCACAATGAATTTGGAAAGTCTTCACTGTGCCAAGAGTCTGAGTGTTGACGTTGCTTTGTGCTGCAGCAAAGATTCCACCCTCACTTTCCAGTATAAATGCAGCACTCAATTGTGACTTGCGTGTAATCTTGTAGCACCTGGATTTCTCCACTGTTACATCTATCACCAGTTCTCCCGCCAAGGAAGGAAGGAACCCTGCAGTCTGTGTGCAAACCTAAAAATTGCGAGTCTATGACCCTTTCTGGGCGGTTCCTTTGAATTTTTGTCTCCCACCCCACGGGGTCATGAGAGGATACTTTAGAGGGTGCAACTGTCTGGCGTAGGTGTGCTTCTTCCCTCTACAGTGGGAAAAGCACTCTGGTTGCAATGGCCAAAACCAGCATTACAGTCCCTAAAAACAGGCTTCTTGGGTACAGCTGGCCTGTGGCTCTCCAGGTCTTTTGGGAATCTAATTTCTGTTAGCATTATCACCGCCAGCAGCCCTTCAGCTGAAGGCTCCAGGGTGACTTATAGCAGTGTTCCCCAACCTTGGGCCTCCAGCTGTTTTTGGACTACAACTCCCATCATCCCTCGCTAGCAAGACCAGTGGTCAAGGATGATGGGAATTGTAGTCCAAAAACAGCTGGAGGCCCAAGGTTGGGGAACACTGACTTACAGCATATAACAAACAAGTAATTGCCACCTGGAAAGTGCACTTAGAATTGCAACATTCATGGCACCATAGTGTGATTGCCCCGGACTTGGAACTGGAGGAGTCTCAAGTCTGCACCAGATCCTCTGCCTCAGGCGGCATCTGAACCGAGTCTGGGGCCTGATCCTGAAGAGCCCCAGTCTGCACAGGTTCCCCTGCAACAAGCACCAGCTGGGCCGAGTCAGGGGCCTGAGCCTGCCCTGGCTCCAGATGCGGGGATGACCTCGTTGCCTTCAGCTGGGCCATCACTTACAGCTGCTCCACTACCAGTTGGGTCAGGGGAGGCTGAGGCAGCCTCTGGGTCTAGTAACCCACCGACGTCTCCCGAGCTGAGAGGTCTGAGAGGAGAGACCCGAGTACTCGCAGGAGGAGTGCTCGCCTTCGGGCGAGACAGGGAGGTGAGTCGCTGGGGGACCAGGACTGGCCGCTACCCTGACAAAGATAAAAGGCTGTTGGGCTCCGCCCCAGGTTGCGGTAGCAACATTGCTGCTTGCTGGAACCTGCCTGTGATCCTGTGCCTGACCTTGCCTGGTTTCCTGCCTTGGCCCTGTTGGACTGGCTCCTCGTGGAATCCTTGGATTCGGGACTGGACCTGGACCATGTTGCTCGGGTTAACCCCCTGGGCCCAGCACACAGAATTGTGGCATTGGAAGGGGCCCCAAGCATCATCACCCCCCTGCAATGCAGAAATCACAGCTGGCAAATGTCTTCCAGCTACTTTGATGGGTCACTGTCAGCTTTCAGGGCCTGGTTCCTGTCCACTCCCTGTTTTGGCAGAACACAGTTGGTCCTCATTTTGCCAGTTCCAGTTCCCTCCCAGCAATACTTGAAATTCTAGGTTCTACCGCGCTAGCATGACTTTTCCGAAGGGTTTGTAATTAGGATTTATTTATTGGGATGTAAGCTTGTTTGCTTGGACTAGGAAGGAGAAGGCTGCGGTGGGAACAGCCAACCAGTGACGACCACCAGCCTGCCTGCCCCTCCCGATCGGGCTCCCACTGGGCCCCGTATTCTTAAGAGCCGGGTGTCACTCAGTGTCTCCCTCGCTCAGCACTCCGGCCTCAATGAGGTACAGCCTGGTCCTGTAGCCCCGGTAGGCGGACTGGATCTTGATGGCAGCTTCCTGCTGTTGGCGCAAGACCTGCCGTGCCCTCCACCCCCTCCAGAAGGCCTGGATGAGGGTCGCTGCCCGCGCCACCTGCCACATCTGCTTCCGCGTCTTGAACACCCGCTTCTGGCCCTCGCCCATCCGGCGGGCATAGTAGTTCTCATAAAGCCATTCGGAGGTCCCCGCGCTGGGCGCTCCCTGTTGGCTGAGGCTGGTGGAGGAGAGGCTCCGCGCTGTGTTGCGGTCCCGTGTGGGACGGGCAGCCGCGTGGCCCGTGGAATAGCGCTGGCTCAGGCCTCCGGGATCCCGGCCCTGCCTCCGCGGCTGGTCTTCGGACACCATGCTCTGGTTCCCGGGGTAATAGGCCCTGGGGCCCATCTGGTAGGACCCGTGGGACCCGTAAGGCTCTGGCCTGGCAGGCGACTGTGACCCTCTCGACCTGGGAGCCGGGCTCTTCCTCCTGGCGGACGCAGGCCGGGTGTGCCCCTCGCACTCGCTGTCGTCCATGTCCGATTCGGAGGGCGGGCCCTTGCCCACCCCCACCAGGACGCGCACAGTGGTGCATCTCCCACAGCGGGGGCACGACTTGGGCTCCGAGCGCTCTCTCTCCCTGGCTCCTGGCTGCTCTCTTTCCCTGAATTCGGGGCGCTCCCTTTCCCGGAATTGCAGGTGCTCTCTCCTGCCTCCCCCCGGATGTTCCCTCGCGTGCGACGGCTGAGTCCGAGGGACCTTGCTCGCCCACTCCTCGGGGTCTCCCACGAGACACTTGCGCCAGTGCTTCCTGGGGTAGGGGCCCACCCAAGAGGAGCTCCCGGGCATGTAGCTGGGCTGCCCGTAGTAAGTCCCCCTCGGGCCGGGCCGGTGAGCAGGGCGTTGCGGCATCTGCGCCAGCTCCTGCCGGGTGCGGTAGCCCCTCCAGTGTGCCTGGATAGTCGTGGCTGCCCGCCTGCACTCTGCGAGGGCCTGCCGGGTCTTGTAGCCCCGGTAGTGTGCCTGGATGATGACCGTAGCTCGCTCTTGGTCCATCTCCGGGGCCCCCCAGGACCTGCTCCCCTCGTTGAAGGAGGCCAGGGAGGGTGTTGTCCTCCTCCTTGTCGTAGTCCTCCTCCTCCTCCTCTCAACCCGATGCTCCTGCCTATACCCTTGCCACGAGGGCACCTGCTCCCGCTGCAGGGCTGCGTACTCCCGGGTGATGAAGTGCCTCCACGCGGCCTGGATGACTGAGGCGGCAGCGTGTTCCCGAAGGACGCGCCTCCGCACCAGGTAGCCTCGCCACGTGGCCTGGATGGTGGTGGCTGCCTTGTCCATGAGCATGTCTAGCTCGTCCACCAGGAAGGAGGAGCGGTGGCGGGAGCGGCTCGTGCTCCGGGCACGCACCCTGGCCAGGTGGGGGTCATGGTAGGGCTCTTCATTGTCGTCCTCGTCCTCCCCGCTCTGGGAATTGTAGGGGCACCAAAGGTGGTCCTCATAGGTCTCCATCCTGGAAAGGAGGAGAAAGGGCAGGCATCAGGCAGTGGCCAGAATCCTTGCCCCGTATTGGGCCTCAGGTGAGGTCCCAGGGTGGACAGATTGTCTCCTCTCTAAAGTTAAAGGTAAAGGGACCCCTGCCTGTTAGGTCCAGTCGTGGCCGACTCTGGGGTTGCGGCGCTCATCTCGCTTTATTGGCCGAGGGAGCCGGCGTACAGCTTCCGGGTCATGTGGCCAGCAGGACTAAGCCACTTCTGGCGAACCAGAACAGCGCACGGAAACGCCGTTTATCTTCCCACCGGAGCGGTACCTATTTATCTACTTGCACTTTGACGTGCTTTCAAACTGCTAGGTGGGCAGGAGCAGGGGCTGAGCAACGGGAGCTCACCCCGTCACAGGGATTTGTACTGCCGGCCTTCTGACCGGCAAGTCCTAGGCTCTGTGGTTTAACCCACAGCACCACCCGCGTCCCTGTCTCCTCTCTACCCTGCTGCATTTTAGGGGGATACCCTTCCTCTTTGTGACCTCTTTCCCCTAGAATTGCCCACGTTTCTGTTGGCTTTTAATCTCACCTCAAAGATGCTTTCCTCCTCCTCCTCTCCCCATCACTGTAAATGTGCCACTCTTGTCCTCAAAGCTCCTCAGAATGGCTTCCTTTCCCATCCATCTCAGCTTCAAGCTTCTAGCCCTCAAAGGCCTCCACCAAGCAGCCCCTAACTATAATTTCTCGGCATCTCCCCTAAAATTTTCCCTCTGCTGTTAACTCATTGGTCTCTCACACTCTCCTTCCCATCATCAAGCCTTCTGCTACCTAACAACGTCTGAAGAGCATCTGTCTGGTCCAGCATCCTGTTCTCACAGTGACTAAAAGAACCTAGACAGACTGTTTCTGGAGCTGGAGGTTGCCTAAGGACATAACAGCCTGGCTCCTTGATCAGGCCAATGGCCCATCTAGTCAACCTCTTTATCTTACAGCAGCCACCCAGATGCCCCTTATGGGAAACCCACAACTGGGATTCAAACACACAAGAACACTTTCTTCCAGCAACTAGCCATCATGGCTAGTAGTCACTGATAGCCCTCTCCTCCTTGGATTTGTCTAAACTTTTAAAGCTGTCCAAGATAGTGGCCATCACTGCCTCTTGTGGGAGGGAGTTCCGCAGGTTAACTGTGAGCTGCCTGAAGAAGGGCCTTTATCTGTCCTGAATCTCCCAACATTCAGCTTCTGCCATGTGTGTGGATGCGCTTCCACAAGTGTACACACACACAAACCACACAAAATTTCCCCAGCAGTTCCCTGTTAAGTGTTAAAAGTCTTTGAAAAAGCCACACTTGGGCACTGCTCTCTGCCAGAGGAAGGTGCCCATAAATATATATTTTCAATAAATAAAGTTAAATGATAAGTTTTCACAGTAGCTGCCCCCATTTCTTGAACCTCTGACTCTGTGTCTCTGAGCACAGGCAGATTGCCTCCCCCAGCCCAGCAAAAAGGAGCTTAAAAAAAAAGTTTCAAAGATACAAAGCAACTTAAAAACAACAACTTTGTGTATTTAGTACCTCTGAGCAGGTACAGACTGCTCCCTTCTGAAGGGAGTGGGATCCGAACCAGCGGATTCAAGTTTCGGGAAAGGAGATTCTGACTAAACTTGCTGAGAGCAAGAGCTGTTTTGACAGTACAATGGACCCCCTTGGCGATTTATTTGGAGATTTTAAAGCAGAGGTCGGATGACCATCTGTCAGGGATTTTTTAGTGGTGATTTTTGCATTTCAGGGGGCCGGACTAGATGACCCAATGCTATAATGCCATGCTTCCACTGTTATTAGATGCACCTTGGAGTACATAAATGAAATAAATAATGCTATTTCTCTCCCCACTCGCTGCCACCCTGCAGCTTGGCACCAATCTATTCTGGTATCTAGCCAGGAGGGGAACAAAATGCGGGAACAGCTCCACTCCTTACGTGCTCATGGACACAGCCAGGACAGAAGTACTGGCAGCCTTCAGGATGAGCAAAAGGGAAAGGAATGGAGTCTTGGCAGGCCTGCGGGTAACGATGCGGATGTTTGGTGGATTGCTTGCCTGTTGCAGAATGTAGCTCCAAAACATGCCTGGGGGAACTTCTCCTGGGGGCCACATTCCCTCCTGGACGACTGTCCGAGGGCCGAATGCTAGTGGTGGGCAGGGTCTTAAGCAAAAGTAGGTGGAGAAGGGAACATAACCATTTTGACTTTGTAGAAGAGGACGGTTTCTATGTTCAGCTCGCACCCTGCTCCCTGGGTGTCACCTAGGCCATCCAGAGCCATTACATAGGTACCTCGGGTTAAGTACTTAATTCGTTCTGGAGGTCCGTTCTTAACCTGAAACTCTTCTTAACCTGAAGCACCACTTTAGCTAATGGGGCCTCTTGCTGCAGGAGCACGATTTCTGTTCTCATCCTGAAGCAAAGTTCTTAAGCCGAGGTACTATTTCTGGGTTAGCGGAGTCTGTAACCTGAAGCGTATGTAACCTGAGGTACCACTGTACCTCTGAATTTGATTACACCTTCCAGCCAGGCAAAAGCCCTCAAGGAAGATGAGATGCAAGGTGTTTGGCCTGGGAAAGAGGATCATAGAATTCTAGAGTTTGGAAGGGACCCCAGCGGTCATCTAGCCCAACCCCCTGCAAATGCGGGAATCTCAGCTAAAGAATCCCTGGCAGGGGGAGTCCATTCCACAGCTGAATAATGATTATATATATATAAAAATGAAATTATAATAATAAAGAGCTCTTACCGCCAGGAAGTTCTTCCTAATGTTTAGTCAAAAATCTCCTTTCTTGGAATTTCAATCCACTGGTTAGGGTCCTTCCCTTTTGAGCAGCAGAAAACAAACTTGCTGGCTGGGGGAGGAGGTGTAGCCTGGAGAGAGTTTCTCAAGGGCCAGAGAGAGAGGCCAGGAGGGCCGGATTGCCTCCCTCCCTTCCACCCCACCCCCTCCATAGGGCAGGGGTAAAAGGGATGGTGGTCTATTACCTTTCTCAGGCAACCATGTCAGCTCTGCCACCTTGATTCTGCCTCGTTGCAGCTGCCTCCGGTTAGGCATAGGGCTGGATATACCCTGCGGCGAGAGAAGCTGTTTACAGCACCACAAGACAAACACAAACACACACACTGTCACAGCCTGGCTGAGGCTTGGTCCACCTCACAGAGGGCACCAGGTTGGGGAAGGCTGGCCTAGATAATCCATTTCATCCAAGGCTTCCTGCAGCTGCCTCACCTCAACCCTCTCCATCAGTTACCCAAGGAAAGCAACCGGTTCCTAGTTTAGCTCAGACTAGGCAGTCTTGTTTAAGAAACAGAAATGGCCCTTCCTCTTTCAGAAGATGTCAGAAGAGCTTGCTGGATCAGGCCAGTGGCCCATCAAACCCAGCCTCCTGTTCTCACAGTGGCCAGCCAGGAGCCTGCAGGATAATTAAATTATTATTATTATTATTATTATTATTATTATTATTATTATTATTATTATTATTATTATTATTATTAATTTGTACCCCACCCATCTGGCTGGGTTTCCCCAGCCAATCTGGGCAGCTTCCAACAAAGATTAAAAATACCGTATTTTTTGCTCTCCAAGACTCACTTTTTCTCTCCTAAAAAGTAAGGGGAAATGTGTGTGCGTCTTATGGAGCGAATGCAGGCTGCGCAGCTATCCCAGAAGCCAGAACAGCTTTCACTGCACAGCGATCCCTCTTGCTGTTCTGGCTTCTGAGATTCATAATATTCTTTTTCTTGTTTTCCTTCTCCAAAAACTAAGTGCGTCTTGTAGTCTGGTGCGTCTTATAGAGCGAAAAATACAGTACATTGAAATGCCACACATTAAAAACTTCCCTAAACAGCCTTCAGATGTCCTCTAAAAGTCAGGTAGTTGTTTATTTCCTTGACATCTAGTGGGAGGGTGTTCCACAGGGTGGGCGCCACCACCGAGAAGGCCCTCTGCCTGCTTCCCTGTAACTTGGCTTCTCGCAGCGAGGGAACCACCAGAAGGCCCTCGGCGCTGAACCTCAGTGTCCAGGCAGAATGATGGGGGTGGAGACGCTCCTTCAGGTATACCGTTCCGAGGCCCTTTTGGGCTTTAAAGGTCAACCCACAAGAAGGATTCAAGCACAAGGGCAACTCCTCCCTTCTGCCATTTCCAGCAACTCGCATTCAGAAGCATTGCTGCCTCCTACTGTGAAGAGAGAGCAGAGCCACCAGGGCTAGGAGCCATCCGTAGCCCCCTCCTCCATGAGTTTGTTCAGTCCTCTTTTAAACCCATCCAGGTTGGTGGCCATCTCTGCTTCCTGCAGCAGGGAGTTCCACAGTTTAACTCAGCACTGCATGAAAGACTTTTACCTGTCCTGAACCTCCCAACGTTCAGTTTCATTAGATGTCTGTGAGTTTTGACGTTATGAGAGGGAGGCAAACGTTTCTCCACTTCCTCCATGCCATGCAGGACTTTATAAACTTTGCCTCTGACTCCTTTTCTCTAAACTAAAAAGTCCCAAATGTGGCAACCTTTCTTCACAGAAGAGTTGCTCTACAATATCCTTTTTGAGGGGAGGCGATCGCATAAAGACACAGTCCCCAAACCCTGCACCTCCCTAGCCCACTGCATTTTCCATCTCCCAGATAGGAACTGCCCAACCGCACAGCCAAAACTCCCAAGGTGAACCCAGAACCTGCCTTTTCTAATGCCACACACCTGCCAATATTTGTTTTCTTTTAGCCCATACTAATTATAGTTTTAAGCCAAGCCCATTGGGAACCAAAGAGGAAAGCCACAGGGATGTTGAACCTCTGCACATCTACAGCAGCTGATGTTGGAAGTTTTGGTGCCCAGCAGGTCTGGCTATGGGTTTCTAGAAAGCCAGACTGTGCACAACTTGACAAAGGAGAACTAAAATGGCGGGTGGCCAAGTTGGGAGACAGCGGTGCTCCCTTGCCTTGAATCCAGGTAAACCGTATCCATTTCTGCTCCCACAGGAAGCCTCTTCATGCCATACCTATATAGAGACGGCAGCTCCCATGCACAACCCGTCCTCTCCCTTCTGCAGGACCTTCCAGCCACCTCTTGCATGGGCCGAGGAATTCTGGGGGCTCCCAGCATCACATGCTGACATCACTACAATTGTGGCATCATGGTCTGTGTGCAGCCAATCACAGGCAGTTGGGTGGGGGGGAGCCTTTGGCAGCCCAGCTTGGAAGTGGGAGCATCTCTGCTTCCTGGGTTCTTCACAGGTGTGTGGTCCATTCACACCTTGACAAAAACACATTTTGAAAGGGAGATCCTTCCTAGTGCTGCTCCTACTCATTTGTTTTGCTCAAGGCCAGGGAAGGTCTAAGCCTCAATCGTTGGCAAACTGCAAGGGTTATAAAGCAATGCATCGGAGATCTTGATTTGACTTCCGTCTCAAAGACTGATAGACTCAAAACATCAACACATCTCAGGCTGGGGGCAGGGGCGAAATTCAGAGCATTGTGTGTGCATGAGTGCAGAAGGGTTGTGGGTATTGTGCATAAATAGCAGCACCAGAAGCAAAAATTCCAGACAGGAAGATGATCCCACTGGCTCAACATCTGCACGTTAAGCAATCATTAATCTTCTCACTGGTCGTAGGGATGCCATCCTCTCTAGGCCTGCTCAGGAGGTACTGTGGCAAGGTTTCGGCTTCACACCAAAAATGGTTTGATGGTCCCTGGCCTTTGAGCCCTAAACTCATGCCTGCCGCCCTCCATAATTTTAGTCCTTTTCAGCACTGGGGTGATTTTATCTGCTACTGTTTCTAAGCTCCTCTGGACAACCTGTTTATTGAGCATCCATCCCAATTTGCTCATGCGGCGGCACCGTAACACTCGGTTGCCTCCGCTTATCCTTTACTTGTGTGCATGAAACTATAGCAAGTGCCACAAAAACATTATGGCTGGGGCTGATGGGAGTTGTAGTCAAGCAACATTTTGTGGATATCACGTTGGCAAAGGCTGCCAGCGAGATGCAAAAGCTGTTAAAAAAAGACTGCCGCGGTACAATCCCCTCCTGACTTCAACACCCACTTCTCCCCACAGCCAGAAACCAGATGTTGTGGTGCTTTCAGGAGAACCGTATCTAACCCACTGATGAGAACACTTCTCTTACTGCTTATATGTGAGCTGAACCCTCTCCATAAGCAAACGCCAGACACCTCAGTTGCTCTCAGGCAAATCATCTTTTATTTCAGGTCCCAAAGTTCTCTGTATATAATCTCACCTCCCCTTCCTTCGGCCCTTACAATATTTAGGCCTTATTCCAGGTTCTGGATTGACAAACTTCCCGCTCCTGTCAAGTCTTGAAAGGGACCAAATCATTTCAAAGGCACCCACCCAACTGACCTCTGGCAATCCCATCAAACACACAGAAGGAGAGGCGGTAATATCCACTTTGCTAAGCTCTAACTAAGATGTTACAAAATAGATGTTTGGGGGAGAAAAAAAAAATCCAAAACCTAACCCCCGGTATTCTTACATGCACCAGAAAGGGCTCACGTGCTTTTGACATGGCATTCACTGCTGGCCGTCCTATGTTAACAGAAATACCCATCCGCCACTCGCCACCACACCAGGGCAGATTTCATCCGCTCCTCTCTCCTGGCCACCACTTGCCTGCCTGTTCCCTCCTTCCGTAGACATTACAGAGCTGTTTCCGCTGACTGGAAGGAATGCAAGGCTCCCCTGCCTGCCTGCCCCTTTAAGGTTGAGGACAAGCAGGCAAAGGCAGCTGCATCCTTCTCCTGGCAGGAAGAAAGAGCAGAGCAAGACTATGGTGCCTCCACACACTCTCAGTCTCTGCCGAAAAGAGAGCACAGACAGCCGCTCAAGGTGCTGTCTGCAAGGCTCTCCCAGGTGGATCTTTCCGGCTGAGATGCACCAGGGCAGGTAAGGCAGTCAGCGCTGGCCCACTGCAGTACGGTGCAAGACAGGGAGCGTTGGCAGGCAAGTGGCAGCAGGAGAGGACAAGCCCCATTCCTTGTCTCTTGGCAGGAGATGCGCGTGGGGCTATAAACTAAAGAAGTCCAGACTATTGTGGCGGCAGAGGTTGGTGGTCCAGGTGACGTCTGCCCGATTGGCGCTCAGCAGCATCTGCTGGAGTTCGTTGCTGACCCGGAAGAACTTCTCCTCGTCCACGTTGCCGTTGAGGAGGTTGGAGGAAGTGGGGGGCCACGGCAGGTCATCCCCATAGCAGTCTACCGGGTAGGGGTAGATGACCAGCTTCAAGTCCAAGAGGCCCACCGTCTTGTGAAGGAGGTTCTTCAGTCCTTTGGCCGAGATGGGGTTGCCAAACACGCCCAGGTAGCGGAGCCGCGAGCAGCGGCAGATGGCCGGCAGGAGGACGTTCAGGTGGGTGTCCATCATGCGGCATTCCATGATGTCCAGGTGCAGGAGAGTCGGGGCGGCCTCCATCAGCAGGCCTTGGAAAGGCTGCAGGAGGCAGTCGGAGAGGTTGTTCCCGCTGAGGTCCAGCTTCTTCAGGGCAGGGGTGTGGAGGCTTTGGGAAAGGTAGGCCAGGTCGTTGGGCAGAAGGTAGCAGAAGGCCAGCTCCAGGCTCTCCAAAGGGCTTTGCAAGTCACTGTGGGGACAGGAAAAAGGCCACCGTTAATAATAATAATAATAATAATAATAATAATAATAATAATAATAATAATAATAATAATTTATTATTTGTACCCCGCCCATCTGGCTGGGCCTCCCCAGCCACTCTGGGCGGCTTCCATAGAAACCAAAGATACAGTAAAATATCACAGATTAAAAACTTCCCTGAACAGGGCTGCCTTAAGATGTCTTCTGAATGTCAGGTAGATGTTTATTGCTTTGACATCTGATGGGAGGGTGTTCCACAGGGCGGGCGCCACTACCGAGAAGACCCTCTGCCTGGTTCCCTGTAGCTTTGCTTCTCGCAGTGAGGGAACCGCCAGAAGGCCCTCGGCACTGGACCTCAGCGTCCGGGCAGAACGATGGGGGTGGAGACGCTCCTTCAGGTATACCTGGCCAAGGCCGTTTAGGGCTTTAAAGGTCAGCACCAACACTTTGAATTGAACACGCCCTCCAGCTAATTCAGCCCCTGATTACTTTCAAACATTTGAAGTATTTTTACTTGCAAACTAGCAACTTTTTCTCTCTCCTTCCTTTTCTCCTTTTGTGTCCTGTCATATTAGACTGCAAGCCTGAGGACAGGAGTTATTTTGTTATTTAGCATAAAGCACCCTAGGACTCAAGAATTGGGGGGGGGGGGGATCTAGACCACTCGCACTGTAGCCAGCCAGTTCCTTCTCTGTGTTGATCCTCCTTTACTTATCCAACTTATATACTGCTCTTTATGCAAGATCTCATGAGTGGGTTACGTAATAAAAACTTATGATGAAACAAAAAACTTCAGCTTAGTAAATACAGTTAAACACTGAGAACAGTGTTAGAAACTGAGATATGAAAGCTAGGAGCCTAAATGGCACCTTAAACCTAGGTTATGGGCACAACAATGGAATGTCTAGGCGTGCTTGTTAAATAACAAGAATACAAAGCTGAAAATGAATCAACTGCAGCTAAAATATTATGTTCATTAAAAATATTTGTATTAAAAATTCCTTCGTTTACAAAAATACATTTTTTTCAAGTTGCGTTTTCTACAGATCAATTTAATTTGTTGTGAGACATTAGTGTTACATATTATGTTCATTTTTCACATGGTCTGGTCCTTCCCCTTCCCCTGCCCACCCGCCTAATATTCTTAAGAGGGTCTCGTCTTCACAGAGTAGTTGGAAGTGGGGAGGCAGAAAAAGTCCTCCTTTTCTTCCACTCTGCAGTTTTACTCTGAAATCTTAGGCGCAGTACTGTGCACAGAGCTCAGAAACTGCTCACACTAATTAATTAGCTCACACTAATTAAATTCCCTGTCGCAAAATGCGCCTTGAACAATGGGAGTTTTGAACACTGACGGAGAAGTTCAGTTAACACCCAGAAAAACAGTCCAGGAAAAGGAGCTCCAATGATCATTCATTCACATACCTCCCCACACAGGCTTGCATAAACAAGTGTGCCTTCGAAGGATCTCTTAATGTCATCAATGTGTGTGGACAGTTTTTCCTTCCATACGGAGGGAGTTCTACAACAGTAGCCAAAAGGGAACCACTGATGCGTAAGAGGAAGGTATCAGTGGATTTCATGAACTCCAGAGTCTGCAGAAGCACCAACTTCGCCCCCCCCCCTTTAGAAAAAACTGTGAGTGGAGTGCTGGATGAGTGCCTGGTGGAGCAGAGGGGAAACCAGAAACAGAAACCAGAGGGAGGCGAGAATGACATGGAGTATTCTGGAAAAGGGCTGAAATCCCTCTTTACACTGTGAGTTTTTTCTTTGCGGGTTGGAACTTCTGATAAATATAAATAAATGGCTTTATCTCAACCACTGCTAATTACACAATTTACAAACTTTTGGGGCCTGGAAACTGAGCCTCCTTTTAAAAAGGGGCCAGCGTGCAGAACCAAGAATCCACACAAGCACTTGCGGAGCAAACTACAGGTATATTTGTGTTCTCTCTCTGAATTTTCACGTGCCGCGCCAAAGCAGTTTTGCGCAGGCTGATGCTTCAACTGAAGAGGCTGCTTTAACGCCCGAAAGTGGAAGTTACAGGAATTACCAACGACTGAGGAGTGGCAGGCGAAGATGATGGACTTTGCAGAACTGGCCAAACTGACCTGCAGGATTCGAGTCCATGACAATCAAAAATTTCAAAGGGACTGGAGTCAATTTATTGTATATTTGAATAATAATTGCAAAAATCTGAAGACACTAGCAGGACTAGTGAGATAAATCCTACAATGTGGACAGGAGGTTAAAGAGCTAAAGTGTGAGATAGGACTTGAAAGTGGAAAACCTGCTGAAGGGAGGGAAGCCACAGGCTCGGCAGAGCTGAAAGTAACTGTGTATGTTATTGTACTGTTGAAAATATTGTTTAAGGAGAAAAATAATAATAAATTATTATTTTTTTAAAAAAAGAGGCTGCTGCGCCACGGAGTCAGCAGCGTCAAGGAGGTGGAAAAGCAGGGAAAGGCTGCAGGTCAGCATCTGCTTTGTATGCAGAAGGCCCAAGGGTTCAATCCCCGGCATCTCCAGGTAGGACTGGGACCATGCCCTGCTGGAAATCCTGGAAAGCTGCTGCCAGTCAGTGTAAGGCAAAGTGATGCCCTCCAGTGGCTGCTAGACTCCCAAAATGCCCTGGCTGGCAAGACTGATGGACATTTGTTGGGGACTGAAACCGGGAAAGGGGGGGGTGGAGTTTGGGAATCCAAAGGGTACATAATTACAATATGTTCTGTTTTTATTTTGTTTTGTTATTTGTATGAAAATTGGGGAAGGTAATTTGGGTCGACTTTAGAAAAAAT